TGATGAGGATGAAAGAGGAGAAAGAAAAAGCTGGCTTGAAACTCAACATTAAAAAAAAAAAAGATCATGCCATCTAGACTTCTGAATTCATGGCAAAATAGATGGGGGAAAAGTGGAAGCTGTGACGGATACTCTTTTCCTAGGCTCTAAATTCACTGTAGACGTTGACTGAAGCTATGAAATAAAAAGATGCTTGCTCCTTGGAAAAAAGCTATGGCAAACCTAGACAGCTTATTAAAAAAGAGGGAACATCACTTTGCTGACAAAATCCATATAGTCAAAGCTATGTTTTTTCCTGTAGTCATGTATGGATGTGAAACTTGGATCATAAAGAAGGCTGAACACCAAAGAACCATTGCTTTCAAATTGTGGTGCTGGAGAAGACTCTTGGGAGTTCCATGGACTACAGAGTGATCAGACCAGTCGATCCTAAAGAAAATCAACCCTGAATATTCATTTGAAGGACTGTTGCTGAAGCTGAAGCTCCAATACTTTGGCCACCTGATACAAAAAAGCAACTCACTGGAAAAGACCCTGATGCTGGGAAAGATTGAAGGCAAAAATGATGGGGGCAACAGAGGTTGAGATGGGTAGATATCACTGTAGACTCAATGGACATGAATTTGAGCAAACTCCAGGAGACAGTGGAGAACAGAAGAGCCTGTCCTGCTGCAGTCCTTGGGTCAGAAGGAGTTGACACCACTTATTGACTGAACAACAACGTACATGAGTGTGTGTGCTAAGTTGTTTCACTTGTCTGACTCTTTACGACCCTGTGGATCATAGCCTGCCAGGCTCTTCTGTCCATGGATTCTCCAGGCAAGAATACTGGAGTGTGTTGCCATGCTCTCCTCCAGGGTACATGAATATGCAATTCATCAAATCAATAGAATTTGATTTGAATTAAGAATACTTTATTCTTTATTAAGAATATTTTAAATGGTTTCAAGATTCAGAAGTTTTGGTAGTTGAATGAATGATTATATTTTAACTGAAAGAGACCTATATAACTGAACTAAATCACTTATCTTCAAGTGAGAATCAAACTGAGAATTAGGAGTTCAGACTATTGTTTATGGCTGAGATATTATGTTGCTAGAAAATTTTTCTGCAATGTATTTAAATAACTCAGGATGTAATCATTAGTAGGCCATCAGAAATAGATTTACAACTGTAGAATAAAGAAAAATATTTCTGTAAAGGGTCACCCTCTAAATTTACACTGAAAGAGCCATAGCTACTAATGATATTCAACATAAGAGAAAGTTTGATATAAATTAAACATGTCAGTTGGCCACTTTTATGATATTCCACACTATGATGGTGATACTTTTGACATGTTTGCCCTTAGAATATAAGGAACATGGTATTGAGTACCAAATAATTAACACACCAAAATTACAAAGATGCTCCAAATTAGTTCTAATTCTATGTCAAAATATAAAATTATAAACCAAAAATAATCTTGATTTTACACAATACCCTGTTTTCCAGAGAAGAGATATTAGCTCTAATGAATGAAATGTATAAGCTATAAGCTTCATCAGCATAAATAACATCTAATCATTGGTCTAATGACTAGGCTAGAAATTCTGTAACAAAAGAAAAAACACAATTTAAAAATTAGGGATAGGGAAAAAGAAGAAACATCCATTCATTCTACAAATATTTGTTGAATATTGTAGCTTGGGACTAAATGCAGTTAAGAATGCTGCTAAGTCACTTCAGTCGTGTCCGACTCTGTGCGACCCCATAGAAGGCAACTCACCAGGCTCCCCCGTCCCTGGGATTCTCCAGACAAGAATACTGGAGTGGGTTGTCATTTCCTTCTCCAATGCATAAAAGTGAAAAATGAAAGTGAAGTCACTCAGTCATGTCTGACTCTTAGCAACCCCATGGACTGCAGCCTACCAGGCTCCTCCGTCCATGGGATTTTCCAGGCAAGAGTACTGGAGTGGGGTGCCATTGCCTTTTCCCTTATAAGGATGCAAACCATTATCTGTGACTTTAAGGATGTTACCTATATAAAATGTAATCATTTTGCAAAATATGCAAATACCAAGTCATTTTGTTGAACACCTGAAACTAATATAATGTTATATGCCAACCATTCCTTAATAAAAATGTCATGTTTTAAAATATATATGTATATACAGAGACAGACAAAGTAATAAATAACTAGAGAAAGTAATAAATATCAGGAGAAAGAAAAACAGTGTTTAGTTAGGTGAAGAAAAAGGTCCTTAAAAAAAAAAAAGAAAAATAAGAAGTCCTAAGTATAGGAGAATGGCTCTCTTGATTCTAATATATATTAAAAAACAATTTTAATATACATAAAAACCTTTTTTGTCATTTCATAAGTTTTCTGATTCACCTACCTGTTATTTCACTGCTTGATGTAATCCCTGGAATGGAAGCTACTGAATTGGAGAAAATAATAGGAAAAAATGTTTTATATGGAAGGAAAATTATGTTTCTGATAACATCTATGGTCATATATAAAATGGATCAGCTTGAAATTAATGTTCCAGAGAAATCTGATTAAATAGTTAAATAGATATCAAAACATAAAATTAAAGTTTAAAATCTATAGACCACAAGTAAAATGTCAAAGACTTTTATCAGTTTGTATAACACTTTTTTATAAAATCTTAAAAACAAAACAAAAACAGAAAAAAAAATCTTCCCCAAAAACTGTAATTGCAAAGGTATAAATAATACTGCAAAAGGAAGTTTTGGATTTTTTTTTAAGTCCCTCTTAAGTTGCGGTTGATGATTATTGCTTACCTGTGCCTGAGCTATTGGTGACCGGTGTAATTGCTGTACAAAGGAGGAGACAAATATTTGGAAATGTATGTTCAGATGGTTTTGAAAGACAAGATTATAAAATATTTATTTAGACACGATTAGATATCTCTAGAATGCAAATAAATGATGAAATGCAACAGTTAAGTTCATTTACCAGATGCTTACACGTTAATATACTCTTGTACTTCTTTGACCACTGCTTTAATTACAAGTGATTCAGTTAAAGTTAAAATTCTTTGGTGTAAGTTGAAAAGAAAATATAATTTATTTTGAAGGAATTTAGCATAGAATTTTATTCTGTAGCCTTTTTTTTTTTTTCAAATTAGTAACATGCAGAATGTTCTTTTTAGGACATATGGTCTCTAAATAGGGAAGAGATTCTTCAATATCACAATTGGATGTAGACCTTACTAGTTGGCATTTAAGAAATAAATAAATAGAAAATGACAACTTTGGGGAAAAGGGCCAAAATGCCTGAGTTGCAAACTCATCCATAGCTTATTTAGATGCTAAAAAGCAAATAAGCATTTTTTTTTTACCTGCTTCGGTGCTTAGTATGGAGGTAGCTGTTGTAGTAGAAACTGTTTGGGGAAGACAATATTTATGAAAATAAATTACTTAAATAATTTTTCTGGCAAATTTCTTCAAGAAACCAGTTGCCAAAGACTCAATAAAAATTTCTGAAATTGTATGTGGAGGTTAATTGACAAAACAATCTTTCATTCAGATCAAAATTAATAACTCTTATTGTATGTCCAACAAAAATGATTAATTATTTTCTATTATTACCACTAACCAAAATCTCACAGGAACTTTATTAATCTATTTATGGGCCAAGATGGACTCTGCATTTAGCTTTAGGAAAGTAACCTATGATAACTAAAATAAATATCACTTCACTGATGATCACATACTAAATACATTATCACAACCTAAGGCTTCCAATTTACAATACTATCTCTTAATTGACACAACCTCCAAATATTGATCAATGAGAAATAAGAGTATGTAAGTGTACTGTAGTAACTCTAAGTACACTTACCACCAGTACATTTAAAGTTCCAAAGCCAAAGTTAAACTACATTTTGCCCAGTACTCTCTTGAATGGATATAACTAAAGTAGCCTTATAGCTTGCAAGAAATACACAAGTTAAGAAAAATAAATAAATTTTTATTTCTGTGTTTTCACCTCCCGGTATAATCATGATTTCAAAATATTTACTACACAGGAGATCACATTTACTTTTTCATTCCATTTGTTCAAATTATCATCTAAAAATGTCAAGCTTTGGATGATGATGTTCAACTAATAATAAGCATGTAATACCTATTTTGTGTTCTAATCACATTACCAACTTAACTCACAGGAGTATAATGAAATTATATTTTGACATATTTTCTAGTAACTTAATTTTAATTTTAAATTTTATATCAGCATATTTATCAGCATATCTTTTACTGGCACAGACTCATGTGAAACTATAAATGATTATCATAAAAAGAAATCAGAAATACACATTTAAACCATAATGATGATTTTACCTGTATATGTTGAATTTGTAGGAGCAGTTTCTGAAATAATCACAAATTACTATTACTGACAGAAATGAAAAGTTGTGAAAAAAATTCTAAAACTCAAGTTGCCTATGAATTATCTGTTTCTTTTTTTTTTTTGGGTTTCTCAGACTTTAATTAGAAATAACACAATCTTCCTTTATAGGAAGGATCCTCTACACCTGAATATCTGTTTCTTTTTTATTTCACTTCTTGCAGTTTTGAATACACAAAAAGAATCATTTATATATTCTTTTGAAGTTTATTGAAATTTCTTTTTAAGATATGTGTTGCATATGAGTAATCTTTCAAAGAGTTAATTCTACCTATATAACTATTATCTTCCATTCCATCCCTATATTAAACTGTTTTAACTGATGTCTCACTTCCTTAGTTCCCAGAGCCTACAGACAGGCAGGAGTAGAGCAAGAGAACTGCCCCATCTACCAGTGGTTTGAAGGGCCTTGACAGCATTGGTTTTGAACTGACCCAACATAAACAAACACACTGAAACGGAATTGTGTCAATCCACTGAGGACAGTATAAATAAAGCATTAACTACATACTCCTCCGCTGTTGACTCCAAACTCTTTATCTCATCTTTCCTAAATCAATTAGAGTAAAATATAGTGACTCACCACTGCATTCCAATTCTCCTGCGATGCAATAGCTGAAAGTTAAATTATAAACAAAAACAGAAACAATCAAAAAGAGAGAGAACTTGAAAATTTTAACTCCTAATTATATACATTTCCTAAATTTAAAGCAACAAATTGTCTAACAGTGAAGATCAAAACAGAACCAAATAAGAGAAAAATAAATAATTGTTACCCCAAGAGCATGCTATGGGTTCAAATTGGTTTTGTTTTTGTTTTTTTGTTTTTCCATGTACTGTTTCCTAATCTTTTCACTGAGGTATTCTTGGGACCTAAAAGAATGTTTGGAATCAAGCTGTAAAGTTAGTTCTTACATTTTCAGTTTCAAACACGATGTTTTTTGATGGACTTGCTGCTCTAGTACAGACCTCCCTTTGAAAGCCTATAAACATGATCTTACATTTATGGAATGAAAACTTTCTTTTTACCCAAAACAACATACTGACATTTTCTGTACTGTCTTTTCCACTAAGATTTAACAAATCATTAGTCCATACGTGGATTTAATGAAAACCCAAAATAAGTAACATAAAACGGAACCTAAAGCTGACCTCCTCATTTAGAAGTAACAGAGTTAACAATATATTCATTGCTTTTTTTTTTCTTGTTTTCTAAATAAAAATGTAAGGAACAGAACTATTGGACAGTTAGAGAACATACCATGTTCTCCCACAGTTATCTTGAATCACTCCACCGGCTGGTACGATATCATTATAGAAGCAGCTGCACTCAGACAAACTGACGCACTTCATAGTGTTCTCATCCAGGTAGGGAGCACTGTCCGGGCATTTGGCATAACAGCCTGTGTGTAAAAATGGCCCTCAGTTCATCTCTATTTGCTGAAACTCCCCCTACTGCATTATATAATTGTACACTTAACTTCAATGATTCCAAGAACTGAAGTAGATAACAGCATACTTTTAGTGAAAAACATATAAAATTGAACAGGATTCAGATTCTTTGGCAATGAAATATCAACCTGAGAACTTAGAAATTTCAGCTGACTTAATTTTTTCTAAAATATTTCCTAAATATTTTAAGAGATTTACTACTTTAATGACAGCCACGATGTTGAACATAACACAAGACTTGGATAAGTATGTGTCTTGAAACATGAATGCCAATTCTAAATACTTTCATGAATACCAACTCTAAATACTGTTTCATCGGATAGATGAAGATAACAGAAATCATAATAAAATGGGCTGAAAATATCACGAAGCCTGGGATTTAACATCAATGTGACTGTCAGAAAGTTTTTGTATCATCTTGTTTTCTTGCCACTTCTTTACTTTTAGTTAAGATATGTAATGTTAAGAGTAAAGTACTTTTTAACTGTGGGTATAGTTAACTGGCCTCCATTCAAGTGAGACTATATTATATGTTGCATTCTGCAATGATAGTCTCAACAAATGCCTTGTCTAATGAAACGTATAAAGATTGCTAGTAGGATGAGACCACTATGTTCTCTCTCTCTCCTGTTAAATAGATAATTTATGTCTAGAGAAAATGTTTCTAATGTAGAAATACTAATGTCATAATAAAGATAAATAGATATTCATTAAATTACAAAATGTAAGATACTGAACTGCCAGAAACTAACATTTCCCATTTTTAAGATATCAGTATAATCTGCACCTTTTCGTGGGTATTATTAAAATATGTCTTACCTTCTAAAAGTGCAGAAAATTTCTGGCCAATTACTCGATCTTTGCATGTTTTGGCAGTCACTGTGCCACAGGGTTCATAATGCCAGCTGAATTCCCCAGGTGCATTATAATAATCACAGTAGACAGCTATGATTGAATTATATCAAATTACTTGCATTCATTATGACAATTTTCAACTTTAATTTTCCAAAGCATTTTTATGAGAGATTTTGAATGATACTAACAATAAACAGACCTAAAGTATATCATTTTGTCTTATTAAGTCCTTTGGCTGTATCCAAATTGCCATATAAACCAAAACAGTTTTTTAAAAAGGGAGGGAAACTTATAGAATCAAAATAGCATTTTTAAAAAAATCTCACAATAAGATTGAGTTTAAAAAGAGTAAACATTAACTTTTCCAATTTTTGAGCTATTTTTGATCATACTCTATATTCATGGTTTTAATGTTTAGCCTTAAGCGAGGAAAATAAATCTCTAGGAAAATTGGTCTTTTTACATATAAATAACAGTTCCCAAATGAGGTAACTAAAGATTTCAATATAATATTCAATATAATATTTCAATATATAAAGCTGTACATAATAGACCGAATAAAATGCAGATTCAATTTCAACATTTGTCACATTTTCTATTAAAATACCTTCCTTTGGAAGAAAAAGAGTTGACTAATCTCTACTAAAGTTACCATATTTCACACATATCAAAATTCTGTTTATATTCATATTATAGCTTATCTTGACTCGAGCACTATAAACATTTTCAAGATGATGTGTGAGGACTTCAAACAAAAGTGATATGTGAGGTAAATATTTAAGAACATTTAACTATAGTATTTAACTATACTAAGATAGGTAGGCAGTTCATTGCTCATCTAAGTATGAATAAGAACTATTTTCCATCAATATTCAATCTTCCTCTGTGAACATAATTTTTGAAACTAAAATTGAATTTGGTGCACCATGTCAAGTGCTATATTAAATAGGTATTTTTTTCCATCACAAACAAACATATCAACATGTTGTTAAGCCTGTTTATGCCCAAGAATCTGTATTTTCTAGAAAATTGAGAAGATTGACTGTCTTAACAAAACGATTCTAATTATGGTTTAAAGAAGAGCAACACGTGGACTTCACTTACGACAGAGATCTGGTTTTCTCCATGTGACACAGACTCCAACTGCGCTGCACGCCTCTGCGTACATTGCCACCGCCGTGCAGAAGCCCAGGTACTTCCCCTCCATGTCACAGGCACAGGCTTCCTCAACACAGGCATCATAGTACTCGCTGGGGTCCACCTGGGGGGAGCGCAGCACATGAGTCTCTGGGAGCAAAGCCCGCGCCTGTCCTTGCTCTCAGGGTCCCCCTACCTTATTGTGACACTCTCTGAAGGTGCTGTCCCGAATGATCTCACACTTCCGCACAGCCCAGGCTTTACAGTATGGATTTGAGTCACATGGGAAGGTTTGAGCAACTGTGTCTGAACACTCTTGACTTGTTTTCCAACTATTTCCAAATTCCAGTGTTCCAACAGCTGCTGATGAGTATCTTGTGGTGAAATCATCCTTCAGATCGCCATTGTTATTTCCACAGAGACCACACACCTGACCCTACATAGATCAGAAAGAGTACCGAAAACGTGAGTTATGCTAGAGATACTTAGATGGATAGATAGATTTAGATAGATATATGATAGAGATATTAAGATTGTATACAAGTTTATTTTAAATTCCAAATTTTGGAAGAAAACCAGAATCTGTAGATAAGCTTCTCCTCTCGTTGAATCCAAGGTGTCCTATATTGCAAAATGATCTAATACTGATCAAGATAGATGCCTTAAGAATTAAAAAATAATTACATTCACTAGCTTCAAATTTGACAGGACTGTACTCTTAGGTTCTTAGAATATTTGCTCTGAGAACTACATCAATTCTATCTATACACCAAGCAACCAAATATGGCTAAAGTAGAATTCATCAGGTTTACTGCGTTGATTTTCCACCAAATTCTATCATCTTTGATTACATTTAATATTACATGTGAGTTTGAACAGACATGGAGCATTGCTCTATAATAAATATTGCCATTCTCCCACTTTCTACCTTTGAATATGTCCTCTAATTCTTGGTAGCAAAAATGATTTCACTTCTACTATGCTATTTGCAGACTTCCCCAGTGGTTCAGTGGTAAAGAATCCACCTGCAATGCAGGAGTGTCACAGGAGTCACTGGTTCAATCCCTGGGTCCGGAAGATCCCCTGGAGGAGGGCGTGGCAAGCCACTGCAGTATTCTTGCCTAGAGAATCCCATGAACAGAGGAGCCGGGTGGGCTACAGTCCATGGGGTCACAAAGAGTCGGACATGACTGAAATATATACTATCTGTATCTGTTTGCTATTTGCTCTTAGTATGTTGAGATATATATATATGTGCATATATATATATATATATATATATATATATAAAAGTGATATACATACATTCCAGCGTGGATCCAGTATAACAGAAATTCTTGTATTTTTGTCCCAAATTACGGTTATTCCGTTTAAAAATTTCAGAATCAAGTACAGGCCAACAGTATGAACAGAGTATGAATTTCCATTGAGTTCACATTCCTTACTTTCTGTAGTTTTGACTGCTGTGACTTTACCATCATGCAAGACAATATTTTGATCCTGTAAATTAAAAGACAGACTTACTTACAGTAACATCAATCTTATTTGGCAGTTCATAATCTGAGGGGGAAAAAAAATAGTACTGTACCTGAAAAGCAACTATAATTTTTCTCGAGCATGTAAGTCCATCCTCACAGCATGGGACGCTTTCAGTTAAAATACGGAATGTGCCATTTTCACGACCACAATAATCCTTTAAAAATTAAATTTTAATAATAGTTTATATCAGGAGCATGGAACTCAATTACAATATTTGTATCAGACAAATATTTCTTAGACAGTGACACCTTATACTTAATAAATTACCATATGTTACATTATGGAATTTCCAAAAGACAATGGTTATCTGTGTTGCAAATCTGTAGTCTTGGCTGAGTCCAAGCCAAGTTGTTTGACTCAGTTCTTTTCCCATTACTTCCATACAAGATTAGAATTATACCATAGATGTGTGTGTAAATTTATAATCTTATAAATTATAAGATTATGTAAGTTTATAATCTTAAATTTATTTCTAGATTTTTCAGATAGCTAGATAAAGATGTCTTTTTCTTCAGTGATTTATATAAAACTTGATATTCACTCAAAACTCATGCAAAACAATACATATTTCACCCATTACATGTTACTTAGCAAGCAGTTTAGGTATATGCAGCAAGCATGGACTCTAGAATCTGACAGATCTCGGTTTGAATATGGGCATTTTCTACCTAGTAGTTCATGTTGCTTAAACTCTGTAAACCTCAACTTCTTCATCTCCTTCATGGGGATAACAATACAAGCATTTTATATTATAAATGGTTAAATGTATAGATTCACTTGGAAAAGAAGCACTCATAAAATGGTAACTGTCATTGTTGCTGATAGTACTGTTGCTAAAATAATGACACCCAACATTAATTGAGCACTTATTATGTGCTCCAATATTTTCTCTAATTTGGCTTTAAGTAGGGGCTATTTCCATTATACAGTTAAGGAAACTGAGACACAAAGAAATTAAGGTATGTGCCCGAAGTCACACATCTAAGAAATGGCAGAGGCAGGAGTGAAATTTAGGCCTACTGGCTCCAGAACCATCATTACATTATATTACATTTTACTGCCTTCAAGAAACATATATGTGGCATGTTTTTTTTTTTTAATTCACATTTTGAGAATAAAATTCTCCAGAGTTCATCTAATAATTATAAAGTAAAGAAAAATTGTTTAAAAACACACTTGTAATTACCTCGATAAGTGCATACTGGCAGAGACCATCAAAGCTGTAACTTTTTCCATCAAAAGTTCTAACATGACCGTCCCCATAGATATGACAGGTGGTTTGACATTCATTCTGTGTACAGTTCCAAGATCCTTTTATGCAAGTACTAGAAGAAAACAATGATACAGTGTGGTAATTGTACCATTCCAAGATTATGACTGAACTCATATTGCTTTTGTAAAGAATCACAAGACATATCAGTTTAAATTTCGCAGTTGTCCATTACAAGATGTTCAAATTTTAATGCTGGATAAAATTTGTTTTAAAAATAGTTTTTCTAACTACATCTGACCATTATTTTCCCAAATATCCCAAAGTATGACTCCTTTCCCATAAAAATAAGAGCAGATTGTATGCTTTCTAATATCCAAAACAAATAAGACAATAATTCTTTATTATATACCATTTGTTGCAGCCGACTGAGGTGAAACTTCCTTGGTCATACTCTCGTCCACCAAAAGAGCATGGGCAGTCATCAGGAAAGACACAGTTCCCTTTAGAATTTCGAACCATTCCTTCAGGACAGTAGCAACCACGTTTGCAAGGCAAGTTGTCCTATAGAAGCAAATATAAAATATACACCATGAGGCACTAGTCTAAATTCATTGCATTATCAGTGGTATTAATACTTGACAATGCATAAATAAACCAAGTATACAGTTAGAATCAGCATTTGACAATTCAAAATGACACACAAAAATAATATGACCTTCTAATTATTTTTCTTTGATGTTTTAATTCCCATCTTCACTGAAACAAAAGTTTTTTTGAAATAAAAGTTTTTAAAACTCTAAACTCTAATACCATGTTACTTACATCAAAAGTAGGTATGTTCCGAGTGCTACATGTAGTATCAACTCTCCTCTGTGCCTTAGGATTCCTACAGTCAACATATTCAGCCCCTCCAGAACAATTCTCTGTGAGACAAAGGAAGTTGTTAGTCAAGGGCCTCCTGATCTGCTTATTTTAATCAAAGTAGATATCTTAAGCTTGCATCGTGATTTCAAAACTTACGTAGTGTTAAATCAATGGGAGTCTGGCAAAGAAGAATCCCATCTCTGCAGACACTGGAAATAAAAGAAAATTATAAATTTAAATAAAATTTCAAAGACAGCTTAATACACTGTTATAGCAACTTTCATCCCTCATTCATAAACCCCCTGCTATATGATATATAATAAGATCAATGAGATACAGTCCCCCAAAAGATGCATGTGCATGTGCTCAATCATGTCCGATTCTTTCCAAACCACCAGGCTCCTCTGTCCATGTGATTTCCCAGGCAAGAATACTGGAGTGGGTTGCCATTTCCTCCTCCAGGGGATCTTCCCGACCCAGGGATCAAACTCTGGTCTCCTGTGGCTCCAGCACTGGTAGGTGGATTCTTTACCCCTGAACCACCTTGGAAGCGGGAAGAAAGATGCATAAAATGTAACAAATTATAAGATACAACTTGTATGCATTATAGGAATGTACAAATAATGTTCTTAGGGACATGCAGAAAACTAAATGGCAAAGATGGCTGGATTTTGATGGATAAGTAAGTTTCAACAGATGTTGCTGATAAGATGCAAAGCTGTGACAAAGGAAAGAACAAGGCATGTTCTGATGACTTGTTTGGATAGAAGGTAGGATACATAGGGAGAAGTGGTAGAAGTAAGTTATAACCACGTTTCAGATGGTCTCAAATGACATGCAAGTTTTTTCTATTCTTTAGGCAACTGTCACCATAAAATCAGTTTTTGAGCAGCTAAGTGGCACAATCAGAACAGTGCTTTAGATATAACATCCCAGTGACAGTACCGGAGACATGACAGAGAGAGAGCAAAGAAAAGTCAAGTTCACACAGTAGTCCAAAGAAGAGCTTTTAGAGATTGACAACAGGAAAATGCTAACACCATCCATAATTTGGAGGTGCTAGCCCAAGTTTTATTAAAAAGGTAATCTACCGATTCTCCAGCATTTGCTTGGAAGTATCGTTAATCAAATCCCAACCAAATGTTCTGTGTACTTTGTTGATTAAAAGGAGTTGTTACATACGCTTTCCTTTAAAATGACCAAATTATTATTATTCATTGCTAAATGATACCTTTTTAAAATTAATTTACTTATTTTAATTGGAGGCTAATTACAATCTTGTGGTGGTTTTTGCCATACATCGACATGGAACTAAAGAAAAGAGAGAAGGTGCATCCAAAGATTTTTGGAATGACTGCTTCATTTTTGCAGTTATGTTTTTAAGAATTGCTATTTCTGTTCACGAAATTAGAAATGTAGATAAATTACTTTGCCCAAACTGCAGGAATCACAACCTCCTTATCCACCACAAAAAGTTATAGTTCTTCAATACCTCCTACCACCCTGGAACAAAGTTTAAATTCTGGAAAATGGCCTGGTTACTTTCTTCTTTTACAGCACAATCTTGTGTAACAACAACCGACATGTACAATACTATTTTAAGCATTTCCTACATTACTGCATTCTGTTTCCTTGACTGGAAGTCACTCTTCACACTCCAATTTTTTCAGGAAAAAGATTCATCCCTTAGGAAAACTAAAATGCTGATCTCTTCTGAGAAGTTGTGTTTTTCTTTTTTTCTTTTTTAAAATCTCCCGAGATAGCAACTGGCCCTTGCTGGTACCATATGATAGTATATCATACCTCTTTGCAATAGTCTGCACCATGCTTACTCTGAGGCCAAGACAAAGACCACTCATCTTTGCAACTCCAGTGCTTAGCACAAAGCCTAGCACACAGTAGGCATTTATTGAATAACTGTTGGTTGAATGATAAATGCTGAGAGACACTAGGAAGCATTGCCTGAATATGAAATTGCTTTGCATTCTCTGTACATAGAAGCTGCTAGAATATTTTTCTACTGTCATTTAAAACCAAACATGAGTGGGATATATGAGCAATGGCCATTACAGTGAAATGTACACTCCAGGTAATATTAAACTTTAATGAGAAATACAAAATTTAAAATGTGGCAGGTCTAAAGAAGATTTCATCCAAGCAAAAGACTATTTCTTTGAAAAGCAAAGTCTCTTGATTTTAAAGTCATAACAATATATGTGGAATTTCCATACCATTTGTTGTCATCAATATGGATGAGTTTGCCTGGTTGCACGACCTCATCATTTATGTAGCAGTCACACTGAGATTTTGAAACACAATTTCCTTCATTATTCTTGTACATTTCATCAGGGCAAGTGCATCCATCAACTGGAATGCCTTCCATATCACAGCTCTTATCTCTCTCTGACAATGATCGGCAAGAACTATTGCAGGTTTTTACATTGTACTTGAAAACTAGGCCACTAGGACAAGATTGATCTGTTGGTATAGGGAAAACATGGTCAGCATGTAAATATCCAGAGTAATTAGTAATCTTAATTCAACTTGATGTTTACAGTATTATAGTGAATTGACCGTAATTGAGTTATGAATAATAAAGGAAAAGGTATTTGTCTTTTTTTTCTGTCAGTATTAAGACACTGCTACAATGTCGACACATTCTGCTGGAGATAAAGCCCATACACAAGATAGATAGTTCATTGCTCTCAGGCAGCTTATATTCCTTGGGAAAAGACAATCGTGGTAAATGCTAAAAAGCAAAATAGGAAGCTCTGAATGTGTATAGCTGGGAACCTGCCCTTAGTGAAAAGAAGGGACAGATAGACAGCATGAAGATGGGAATTCTATATCTGGAGAACAACTTAAGTTAGAAGAGAGGGGAATTCTTTCAAAGAGCAAGTAAGAGAATAGAAACTAGAAACCTTGTAAGCAGTTTGGTCTTTAGCCTGAATGCCATAAAATGCCACTGACCTGTTTTAGACTGAAATGTCACATGATCAGGCTAGTTTTATTTGGTTTTACTTTAAAGATTATACTGATTTCTCTGTAGAAATTGAATTAGAGGGAACCAAGACTGGATATTGAAAGAAGCTACTACAATCATCCAATAGGAAAAATCATGGCTCTTGAACTAGGTTGGTGGCAACAGAGATGAAAATATATGAATGGATTTGAGAGTAATTTTGGAGGTGAACTTAGACCTTACTGATTGACTAGATGTTGGCTATACAGTATTAAGCACGATCTAGAGAGATGCATTTCCCAAAAGCTTTTCTGAAGTCATATTTGAAGAGTGCAGTAGCTTTCTTTTTCATTCAATGAAGTATTTATCAGCCTTCTACTAAGATTTTTTCACTTTTTTCTTTCACTGATTATAGTCAATTTACAATATTATATTAGTTTCAGGTGTATAACACAGTGATTCAAAAATTTTATAGGTTATATTCTGGTTTATAGTTATAAAATATTTGATATATATCCTGTATTGTACAATATACACTTGTAGCTTATTTATTTTATATACAATAGTTTGTACCTATTAACCCCTATATTTTTCCTCTACCCTTCCCACTGGTAACCACTGGTTTGTTCTCTATATCTGTGAATTTATTTCTTTATTGTTACATTCACTAGTTTGTTTTATCTTTCAAATTCCACTTAAAAGTGATAACACACCATGTTCTTCTTTCTCTGTCTGACTTTAGGGTAAAAATTTTTTGAAACAAAGCAAGATTATTTTTCTGGTTTCATGGCATGTGGGATCTTAGTCCATAACTAAAGATCCAACCTGTGGCCCCTGAATTAGAAGCACAAAGTTTTAATCTCTGGACCACTTGGGAAGTCCCCAAAGTATGAATGCAGTAATTGATTCCCTAATTTACTAACTTATTTCTTCAAAATAAGTTACTAACACGACTATCAGTTAAAATGCAGTAGAAGTCAGAACAATTTCAGCATATAAAATTGAACAAAAATATATATTTATATATAAATGCACATATATTTTGGTCTTATTAAAATATAAATCTATTTAATCAAGATATAAGAAATAAATCAATAAATCAATATGCAGGGATTAAACAAACATGTTGTTGTTTAGTCAGTAAGTCCTGTTTGACACTTTGTAACACTGAGGACTGTGGCCTGCCAGGCTCCTCTGTCCATGGGATTTCCCAGGCAAGAATACTGGAGTGGGTTGCCATTATTTAAAAATAAAGAAAATCATCTTTGAAAGAACCAAATACAAATTTGTAAATACACACACCTAAACTACACATTAAATTAAACTACATACTAAATTAAACTACATATGGATGTGAGAGTTGGACTATAAAGAAGGCTGAGTACCAAAGAATTGATGCTTTTGAAATGTGGTATTGGAGAAGTCTCTTGAGAGTGCTTTGGACTACAAGGATATCAAACCAGTCCATCCTAAAGGAAATAAACCCTGAATATTCATTGGAAGGACTGATGCTGAAGCTGAAGCTCCAATACTTTGGCCACCTGATGTGAAGAGCCAACTCATTAGAAAAGACCCTGATGTTGGGAAAGATTGAAGGCAGGAGAAGGGGACAACAGAGGATAAGATGGTTGGATGGCATCACCAACTCAATGGAAATGAGTTTGAGCAAGCTCCAGGAGATGGTGAAGAACAGGGAAGCCTGGCATGCTGCAGTCCCTGAGGTTGGTTGCAAAGAGTCAGACACAACCGAGCGACTGAACAATAGCAACAAACTACACACACACACACACACACACACCCCTGTTGTAAAGCTGAGAAGAAAGTAGAGCTATCTAAAGCCTCTATTCTGCTTACCACATAGCCCAGTTCTCCATCCTACCATGGAAGTTTCCTTCTCAGCACATGCTTTCACGTAGTTGCCTAAAATTGTACACAGGCAATCTTGGCTATTTTCACAAGTACAAGTGTATTTTTTGCATTCCTTTAAAATAAGAAACAAATTTATATTATGAAAATATTCAGAACAGATAAACTGGTATAACAAAACAGTTTATAACCACTCCTCTTCTGGAAAATATTTTGTCCTTGAAACTTTTGGAATTATTTTATGTCTCAAAATATGCAAATTAGAAAATCAAATATTAACTGAGTTTTCCAAGAACTTAGAGAAACTTATTCAAGATTTTCCTCTTGTGGGGTTATTTTCTAGTCCCTCTTTTTTGAGTTGGTATATCTAACAATTGAATGAAGTAATATAATCCAATTTAAACTTAAATGTATGTCTTAATCTACTGAAAATGACTGCTATTTGAACATTTTTAACATCTAATGCTTCCTTCCTTTAGTATTATAAAAATATTTCTCAAAAAGGGCTGTTAATGTTAGACCTTCACATACCTCATGATATGGTTTAGGGTCCACAATTGAATGGCAAGAAGCAAAAGGACCAGTCAAATCAAGAAGAATTCCACAGTGTCTTTCAGCAAACCGTTCTGAAAGAAAATTAATGTACCCAACACTAGATTAAATATCATAAATTTTTAATTAAAAGAGAAAGTGTAAATTTTTTAAACTATCCTCTGATTTGTGTCTTTATTAAAACAATTGGTTTTTAAAGTGTTATGCTATAATTTGTTATCACTGTATGCAAAAAAAAAATGATATAATAAGAAACAAATCTTTATTAGCTTTGGACTTTAATATTAAATCAGTTAACCTTTTTCTCAAGTGCAATTTATATATAAAATATGAATAAGGGAACCAGATTATTTAGGTAACTTTAGTTTACAATACATATTTATGTTAAATTATGAAAGGTCGGTACTGTCACCCCAGAAGGTCAAATCAGTGTTTCTGAAGGTCATAAATTATGACAATCATTATCAATAATTAAAATACAATAACTTCATTTAGCTGCTTAATTGATAGTAGGTAGATTTATCAATAGTCTTCTGTTAAATTAATTGAAGAGAAAATTCACAAAACAATACATTAAACAGCATTTAAGTCAAAAATGTTTTGCTTGGTTATTTGCAAATTCTCAAGGATGATGACCATGCCTAGCACAAGCATTGCTAGAATTTTTTTTAACTATTTGCTGATTGACTTTTAAAAGTGACCATCACCAAAAAGCAATAAAGGACAATGACCGAACCTATTAAAAGGACATTGAGGCCAATTATTCTTAAAATTTGGACAAACTTGCAACCAGGTATCAATGCTCTTATGTAAATATTACTAGCATCTTATTATTGTCTAATTTTCTGTATTTTATGCTATTAAGTTATATTTAAAGCACTGAAAATTGAAAGAGTTATATCTCTCAAAAGTATTAACATATAGTCTGCTTAACATAAATTGGCTTGGTTTCTTATGAGATGTATATTTTTTTTTACCTTTTCTCATTTTATTTTCATTGCAACACCCACAAAATAAAATAATGACAAAACCTTGAAATGTGCATTACCATACTGATGTTAATGCATTTATCAACTCATCTTTTAAATCAAAACAAATAAATGAAACTTCAAAAGGAGTCACTGTAGTAGTTTATAAACTGATCAGACATTTGTTTCAAGTAAGCAGATTAAGAAATAACAAATTAACATTTCATTATAATACATTTTAACTTACCTTCCATTGCATTCCATTATTTATGAAAGAAGCAACATAAAAACGAAGCATATGTTAAAATCAATGACACTAGAGGAACAATTAGAGAAATACTGGGACTCAAAACACTTGGATTACACTTTATTGAGAACACCCTATCTAAATCTCCATTATCACCATCTACATGAATGGGAATAATAACCTCATCCACATCCTTCACCACTCTTTGTAGAAATAAATTGAATTATCAATAATATGTATGAAAGTCCTTGGTAAGCTGAATCATATAAGTGTACAGTTTTTCCACTAAAATCTCTATTTGGGGGTTGGTATAACTAATATACATGATGGCAGTGGTTAGGAGACCTGGATCTAACTACAGCTGTACCGTGAAGTGTCTCAGGAATTTGGGTGAGGGTTGCTATTCAAAGAAATGATCCTTTATACAACTATGTAAAATAGAAATAATAATAACAGAAGTGATGAGTGAAGTCTCTTCTAACCCTATCATCTTAAAACTATGCAGAAAACTGTATATGGAGGAAAAGAATGGGTAGAGAAGACAACAGTGTCTCTTCCTCCATCTATTCCCGAATGAGAAGCTTGTTTTCTGAGAGTCATCAGCCAGTCAAATTGTTTCTCCACTGTTCCCTCTAAAACTGAAAAAGTTCACAAACACTAGCTGAAAACTGGATTATCTAGTAGTCTCATATTATTACCAGAATAAGTTTATAATTCCAGTGACAAATATCTAATTACAGAGTTTGAGGTTCAATAAACAATACCTTTTTCTATACTGATGCAAGAAGCAGTGCTAGCTTTAGGACAGGGCATCATTTCCCAAGAACTAGCAAACGCCTGAGAGGTCTTTTCTAATATGTTCTGACTTGACATGAAATCATCCTCTGCTCTGTTGTTGTGGGAACCACAGAGTCCTGCAGAAAGCACAAAACAGATGTTAGCATCGTCTCACCTTTGGATTCACATTCAGTTCTTTGCTCAAATCAAACCATGCATGAGCCACATGAGAGTATGTCTTGGTTAGTCTTTATACATATAAGTAAAATTTCATGACACATCAGGTTAATACTGCCATTTATAATTCCAGGAGCACTGAAACACCATTTGACATGAATATTATTTTCTTCCTGTTTGTTGCTGTAACTTAACCTCCTTTGACAAGGCTTTAGAAAGCATGCCTAAAGTAGAAAGTTTATGACTGCACATTTTCAGTTTCATTGTGAAGAGGTGAATCATGTTAAGAGCTATCTGCCTTTCTTATCTGGACCCTACTGACCCTTGAATTACATTTTTTTTGCCTATGTATAAATAAGTCAAAAATGTTCACTTGTTAAGCAAAAGTATCTTGCAAAAACTTAGATGGTTTTAAATGAGTAAATGTGGAATTTGCCAAGGTTTCTTTGTTTTGTTTGATATTTGTGACAGTATGTAAAAACTGATTTCTGTAATAGAATACCTCAGTAAAATAGAAAACCTCAGTAAAAGAAAGATAATCTATGAGCAGAAAGACAAGTTGTAAAACAACTTGTATTTGGAAATTGATTTTCAAAAGATTTATAATATTTGCATTTATTCTTCCACAAGTCAGTTTTAGTAACATATTAGCAAACTGATATATAGCATATATTATCAAATCTCACAATAAATCCTTAATTTAAAAACCTTAAGATGTTTAAATTGTTGAAAACCATTAGGAAATAGATTTTGTAATAAATAAAGCTATCTACACTGTATGTTCAGTTATTTTACTGCAATATGGAAGGAAAGATTAAGTTAGACAACTGAAAATTACAACAGATGGTTACACTAGTGCTTTGGAAATAAAAACATATCTATGAGGTACCATCTCATGCCAGTCAGAATGGCTGCTATCAAAAAGTCTCCAAACAATAAATTCTGGAGACAGTGTGGAGAAAAAGGAACCCTCTTCCACTGTTGGTGGGAATGCAAACTAGTACAGCTGCTATAGAGAACAGTGTGGAGATTCCTTAAGAAACTGGAAATAGAACTGCCATATGACCCAGCAATCCCACTGCTGGGCATATACACCAAGGAAACCAGAATTTAAAGAGACACATGTACCCCAATGTTCATCGCAGCATTGTTTACAATAGCCAGGACATGGAAGCAACCTAGATATCCATCGGCAGACGAATGGATGAGAAAGCTGTGGTACATATACACAATGGAATATTACTCAGCTATTAAAAAGAACACATTTGAGTCAGTTCTAATGAGGTGGATGAAACTGGAGCCTATTATACAGAGTGAAGTAAGTCAGAAAGAAAAACACCAATGCAGTATATTAACGGATATATATGGAATTTAGAAAGGTAATCATGACCCTGTATGCAAGACAGCAAAAGAGACACAGATATTAAGAACAGACTTTTGGACTCTGGGAGAAGGCAAGGGTGGGATGATTTGAAAGATTAGCATTGAAATGTGTATATTACCATAAGTGAAATAGATGACCAGTCCAAGTATGATGCATGAAACTGGGCACTCAAAGCCACTGCACTGGGACAACCCAGAGGGATGGGATGGCTAGGGAGGTGGGACAGAGGTTCAACACGGGGGAACACATGTACACCTGTGGCCGATTCATGTCAATGTATGGCAAAAACCACCACAGTATTGTAAAGTAACTAGCCTCCAGTTAAAACAAATAAATTAATGTAAAAAGTATCTATAGGACTTACCTACAGTATCTGTGAACTGGTTGGGTGGCACAGAAACATACAATTGCATCACAGGAAAAATTTGAATTTGCATTTTTCCATGAAAGTATGTTTCTGCTTGAAGGTATGAGGAAGATGCATTGAAGATCTGTATTTGGTCTGTTAAAGTAATAATTTATATTAATAGCAATAATTAATATGTTAAACAGTTTTTATTTCTTAAAATGCCTATATACTGAATATATTTTTAAAAACAGAAACATTTATAACATAGCTAAAAATGGAATAAAGTAATGCATTTTACATTTATAATATTTTAAATGATATCATTAAACTTACCTGAATAATAATAACCTTGATCTCCAAGCTTGTCACTTGTGACTGTTCCATCTCTATTGAACACGTATTTGTCAACTTGAGCAGACTAATATTTAAAGCATATTGTTAGTTCATTTTAATTTTCAATATGAATATATCTAAGTATAATATTAATAAATTGAACCTGAAATTTTTCCCATAAAGCTTCACTGTAATAGACTAACTTATAAATGTCTAAAATATTAAACATTTTTAAAGCATTTCTTATTCTTAAAGGAGAGTTATAAAGGACTTTTCAGCCCTGATTCGTAGATGAGGAAGCTAAAACCCAAGAAGATAACTTGGATTTCCAAAGGTCAACCCACTTGTAAGTAGCAAAAATCAAGCTAGGTACTCTCCCTCCCTATGTAGGTCATCTCCAGTTAAAGTGGTAGTCCCAAATACATGAAATTCTAAGCAAATATAACTGTCTTCTTAAAAGGGCCATAGATTTTAATAATCTAGTAAGTGTAAAAGGTTGACCTGTAATTAGCACCTTAGTTATGTGCCTATGTTAATTTTTATATTCATAAGGATCCTTAGAACTATACAGGTCTCCCAGAGACTTTATCAATCTCATTTATGGTTGTAATTTCACAGTGAAGTCTCTCTTTTTCAACCTCCAAAATTCTGAATTTGTAGAGTAATTGACTCGAGTTTGCTTTAGGAAGCTGATTACTTACCGAATTCAAGAGGAGTGTCACACTATTTAAGCACGTTCCTGACTGACCACTTGGACATGGACGAAGCTCAACACTAATAGACCAATCTTTATCCTGTCAAAAAATACATTTATTAAATGGTCATTAAAATCTCATTTGCACTTTTAATATGCAAAAGCTTTACATTCAATCAGTCTGCTCCGAAACTAGAAACCTAGTTCAGTCCATGGGACAGTCTAGGATTGGCCAAGAGTTTTACAGATGGTCCAAGTGTTTTGCATGAGATATAGACTATCTAAATAGTCTATGATTTGTGCATTCTCTCATTAACCTTTTTTTCCTTTAAGCTTTACTTTTTGTCTAGTCTCTATGGGAATTGTGCTGCATTATTGAGCCTCATAGGAGTTAAAGGTAACACAGCTTGTTTATTCTCTGGAAAATCCATGATGTCAACTTAAATCCAATGAGAGAAACATTTAATTTGTAAATGCATAATATAAGTCATGTCAAATATTGACTTCCAGTTCTTATTTCAAGATTTAGGAATCTCTAATCTATATGAAGCAAATATTCTGTATATTTTTATTTATTTCCCTCTCACTTTGCCCATCCCCAACTTCATGGATTATAAGAAGAGTATTCAAAAAAGGAAGGGAGATTTGGAAAACTGACTTTCAATAACAGTAACTATATTTTTCAGACACTGGTCCCCATCTCTCACTTCAGGAGTCACAAATTCTACTCATCTTTGTTTCTAACCAGGAAGATTATTCCTGGCATGCTTATTATTATTATAACTGGCATGCTTATTCTCATGCCAGTTAAAAATGGCACAACCTACAAAATGGAATCTCTCTTTTATTGAAATTTTACTTAAAATTTTAATACTGAAAAGAGTTTAAATGTAAGGATAACCTCTATCATACCGTTATATTATAAAACTAAATAACACATTACGAAAACTAAAAATAAATGTAAAGGAATAATGAAAAAAGAGGAAAATACTTTATGGAACGTAAAAGATAGTTTCATTTGAGGCACTAGTGAACACATACAAAGAAAAGTAGAAAAAGGAAATCTTTTCCTGATATATTTAGAAAATTAATAGTAATAAAGATTTTGATTGTTTTTGTTTAGCAAAGAATTTCTAAGGAACACAGGTAATAATGATTGTCAATGTCAACATGTGACACAAAGCAGATACTGAAATACACAACCAGTGATAGAATGGTTGTTTGTTATTTTTTAATCATAAATAAAGATGAAGATTGTGTTTAAAACTAGTAAGAAAAAACTTGGTGTCCGTATCAGTTTTCTCAAGTGTTGCAGACTATTACATACATGGATGGCCAAAAAGTGACAGTTTCCAGGATGGTTGTATTTAACGCCATCAAAGGTGGTAATCAAACTTCCTTCTATCTTACATCTCCCAGGGCATAATGTTTTAGTGCAAGACCACTTTGCTTCTTGGCATGTGCTGTTAAAATGCAATGGTTATGAAAAGGTCATCAATTACATTTTCTTTATAATAAATAATACAACATGAAAAAAAATCACCACTTAAACATCTAGTTAGGTTTTATTATACCATCATCATTCCCCTCCCAACATCTCGGCCTTGATAAAATGTCTCTCAGACAATGGTATCCTAGTAATTTGTTTTGTACTATTTTTTAGTCTCTCAGTCATGTTTGACTCTTTGTGACCCCATGGACTGTAGCCTGCCAGGCTCCTCTATCCACGGGATTTTACCAGGCAAGATTATTGGAGTGGGTTGCTATTTCCTCCTTCAGGAGACCTTTGTAACCCAAGGATTGAATCCATGTCTCCACACCTCCTGCATTGCAGGTGATTCTTTACCGCTGAGTCACCAGGAAGTTCTAATTCCATTGAACAAAATAACTTCTGCCTGCTCTGCTCAGTATAACATGGCCTCCCACATTGCAGACAGATTCTCTACCATCTGAGCTACCAGGGAAGTCATAAAGAGACATATAGTTATTGATTATGTGAAATGTGGCTGTCAGGCCAGAATGAGATCTTCTGTAAATGTAAAATACACACAGACTTGTAAGAATTAATACTGAAAAAGATGGTAAATCCTCTCAACATTTCATAATAATTTTATGCTGAAATGATAATATTAATATTTTGCATATGTAAAGTTGTGTTGTTTAGTTGCTAAGTCATGTCTGACTCTCTTGCAACCTCGTGGGCTGTAGCCCGCCAGGCTCATCTGTCCATAGGATTTCCCAGGCTGGATTGTAGTTTCCTTCTCCAGGGACTCTTCCTGACCCAGGGGTCAAACCTGCGTCTCCTACATTGGCAGATGGGTTCTTTATAACTGAGCCACAGGGGAAGCCCATATGTAAAGCCCATGACTATGATTAATTCCACTTGTTTGTTTCTTAGTGCTTTTTAAAAATAATCAACTGAAAATGTTAAATTATACATGCAGATCATATTTGTGATTCACATTATATTTCTCTTGAACAGCATAACTATATACATTCAATAAATTATAGCTCTTGTTTTCCATAATATATTATTAATACATTATTATTTCCATAATTATTAATATATTATTAATATAAAATATGTATATTTATTATATATTATATATTATATATTATATTATTTTATATTATTTATATATAATATATTATATAAAATATATAATTATGTATAATATATAATATATTATTACATTATAAATTATATAAATAAATATTAAAATGTTTATAATATAAAATAATTAATAATATATTAGTATATTATTAATATATACATAATACATTGCCTATTTGCTGAGAAAATATTACAATAAAAATGATACATTAGTTTTCATTGAGTCAGATTATTTCCCCAGAAGGACAAAGTACATTTCTAGAAAGTCCCTTGAATTCCTGCAGATATTTTGAGTTCCAGAGAAAAGTCATAATGAGGGATAGGGAAGGCTCTCTGGTCAGCATTTTGTCCTGAACTTAAAAGTAAGAATCAGTTATTCAACTAAAAGAGAAATAATCTACACTATCTTTGACACATTAAAATCCACTCAATCAAATATAGCTTCACCTATGTAACCTCATATAAAAATTATTTGAAAATGGTTGTTTGTAATTGTATATTTTAAAAATATTCTTGAATATTAGCATAATTATTGTTTCATTATTATAACCATAATTTTGTATTATTCTTTCCTCTGTTTTGCAACCACCAATTGGTTTACTATTCAAAACATTATTTCAGCTCCTAAAAAACATTATCTTTTAAAGATACACAGAAATCTAATATATTTTACATGAAACACACAAAAATTCCTCAAAAAATGAAAGAATATAAACACAGAAAATGCCAAGAGGTTGAATTTTGTTTCTGAAAAGTTTAAGTGTGGATTTAAGGAATTATTTCAAGTTACACTAAAATATTAGTATTATTTCACTATCAATAAAATATAGACAAAAGGCACACACATACCACACAGAACCACAAGAACCTTCGCGGACTTCTCCTGACTGATATACCTTTCCACCAGATTCACAGGGACAGTCAGACTTCAACACACATCTCCCTTTCTCTCCAATATCATCCAATAGATAACCTAGAGCACATTATATAAGATTAATCTCCAATACTCTACAAACATCAGTAAATTCTCAAGCAGTGTATTGAGAAATCACTTTTGAGATTGTTCTTTCAAGTGTAGACATACACTTAAAATAATTTCTATTTAAGAAATTTGAAAACTGGCAAGGGTATAGTTAACTTTCAGAACCACACAGTAGTCCTATTGAGTCCAGCATAGGACTAGGAGACCATCTGTGTAGTATTATAGAGATAGAAATGCACATTACTTTAAAAGTACCTCTACCCCCCCTTCCTATATGTTAGAAGGATAGATTATGAATAGGTGATAATTTATTCAATAAATATCTTGTTAGAAACAAGATCTCATTATGACTGTGTAACTTCATTTTCAAAGGTTTTACCTTCTGGGCAGGTGCAACCACTCACACATTCAATGTCTTGAAAAGGAGCCACATTAGAACAAGTTGCAGGATTTGAGGGACCACATTCTTTGTAGATATGCTTTTCTGGGCAAATAGGTTTTTCTGGAGAAATATAGAAATATGCATACATAGAAATCAGAGGAAAATATATGTGATAAATATATAACATTCTAATGAGGATCTTTTAGAGTAGGCATCTAAATTTCAAGATATGGGTCAATTTTTAAAGATACTCAATAACTAAATTATGCCAATTTCCTATGCATTACTTTATGATACAATATTTAATTTGAAGAAAATGTATATTACATAGTATCATTTTACCTTACTTTGATATTCTATTTATATTTTAACTTAAAAGATTGAACTAAGTATAAATGAAAGTATATTCAGATTTACATGAAACTCATTTAGAGTTTCTAATTTTCTGAAAAAAATACTTACCAGTCAACATACTTTTGATAACCTTCTAGCTTTTTTTATGGAGATTTTACAGAGTTTCACAAAATTATTTATTTTTCCCAGTGATTTTTACTAATTATAAAGCCTATAAAGTCCCTAATTATATCTTAACACAAAGCACTTATGACAAGTCACTCCACAAAATGGACCTCAATTTCTTCACATGTACATGTCAGAGACAAGACCTTTCTTTCACCCATGAGGTTCCTTCCAGGAGTTATAGGTATTTGAGAAAATTACTTTGAGACACAGCTCAACTTTAAATGTTATAGAATCTTCTTGATTTGGAGTCTACAATACATTTAAAACCTACCACAAACCACATCAGGATCATTTCTCCAGGATTCAAAGATGCCAGGACCATCTGAGGCACAGAGGCGGGACAATTCTAAGTAAGTGTCACATGTGGATGTTTTGTCTCTACTTTGGCAGTACTCATCAATGCAGATCATTTTGTAGTCACTGGATAAAGTGCTAACCTTTCCACATTTCTCAAAATAGGTTCCAATAATTTTGTTACAGTACTGCAAAATAAAGCATGTAATTTTATTAAAGCAACAGAAAAATGAGGAATCAAAGGAGTATTTAGGGAAAGGTAAGTTCAGGGGGGCGTTTGTACAATAGCCTATAGCTTCGACAGGGAAAGTTCTTGAACACTGATTGAAATGGGGAGTTTTGAATTATGACAGTTCCTATAGTGACTGCTAACTGAAAACTTCACCTCTGATAATAGGTAGTGACTTCAAAAATTGTACCTAATTTCATCCAAAATTTCTCTAAAGGGGACATGAAGTTCAGAACTCAAGAAAATGGAAAATATGAGAAAAGATTGTCCATGCCAGAGACTGGGATCGTGGATGATTGAAACCACAACAGACAGAAGGGTATTAACCCTTTAGCTGTCAGTCTGCTTATATAATATTTGATGAGCAAACAAATAAAATAGATTAATTCTGGGCTTTCTTGATGGGGATCATGTAAGCTGCCCTGGAAACAGCATGTTTGTTATCACGTTGGTTAAGTAAATAAAGACATTACTATCAAACAAAGAAGTTTTTAAATTTTTTTTTAATTTTAACATGCTTTAATTAACACGTAGCTGTTTTCTATTTTAATTATGTTTGTTTTCAGAGAAATACAAAAGCTGCTAGCAAGCAAATACACAATTTCCACCAAGTAATCCCCAGGACAACTGATAGCATTCTCCAAGTGAGGTATAAAATTAAGTGAAATGAAATCTCAGTGACTTCTTTTTTTTAATCAATGAACTTTGGTTGGCTAAAAAGTTTGTTCAAGTTTTTCTGTAAGACGTTACAGAAAAATCCAAATGGGCTTTTTGGCAAACTCAGTATTATTCTTTGTGTATCTTTCTCACTAGGTAAGAGGCTCCTTTAGAGCAAAAAACTAGAATTTTGTGGTCTCTAGGCTTAACACAATGTCTCATACATAGTCTTTAATACAACTTTATATACTTATTCAGCTAACACATTTGAGCAACCAGGAGTAAGCTCTCACACACTGTGTAACTACCACAACAGTAAAACATAATACTGTTACAGAGCTCATAATCTCATAGGAAACGTGTAAGAAACGCATGAGGCATTTTTATAGATCATAAATTCTAATAACTGGCATAGGGTAAAAGAGAAAAGAAAAAGTAATTCTAACTGCAAAGATCAAGGAGCACTTCACAAGTAAGATAGCAGATGATCTTATACAACATTATGGTTTAATTTGCTTTGATAGAAGCTGACAAGATGTTATAAATACAACATCTGTTGTAAATAAAACATGTTTCTTCTACCTATACAATTCATACATATCTTGATCTAGAGAATTTTACTCTAGATTGAAATAAGTACATGTGAAAATTCCTTCAGTCATCAAATGAATGAAATCTACCAAAATCAACATTCGGAGAATCATGGTAAGTGCAGAAAATTCAAAGCAAATGATGAATATTTTCAAGTGGTGTAGTCAAAAAATGATCTGTAACTTTTTCAAAAAAAAGATAAAGTATACTGGAGGTGACAATTCAGACTGGCTGTCTGAAGCAAAAGTAAGGTAGAGAGAGCAGAAAAGTAGTTCTTGGGAACACACTACAGAATTTCTAAACTGTAAAAGTCAAGCCAGTCCCCACTGAGATAATTATGGAGAGGTGAAGCATGTCAGTTTACAGGCCAACTAAAACACTGTTCAAAGGAAATTAGAATTATTATACTAATATATAGTAAGTATCATAATGTTTTAGGGAAAAAATACTTATTGAAGCATCTACAACCAGACTATAAAGCTGAGAAACAGATCATACGGACATTGGAGAAGAAGCAGTTGCAGAATTCTAAGAATAAGGTCTCTGTGTTAAGAAGAGAATGCTGGCTATTTAAACTGAAACCAAAGGGACTATTGCTGAAGTCTGCTATTAGATGAAATATGAATTTATTACCTGTACTCCATCTTCACAAACTTCATAGTTTTTACTAACAGCTTTGGAACAATCACCAGGAATTTTACTATCGGCAATGTGCTCACTGATATCATCTCCTTAAAAAGAAAGCAATGTTAACTTCAAGATATTAATTATATATGTGCATTATTTTCAAGATAAATATAGACTTGACAATATAAACATATATTTTAACAATTAATCATTCTTTATACAAAGGCAAATTGTTAGCTTTAGATTTATCCAAAATCAAATAATTGCAATTTCCTTTTGGGAGGGAGTTTTCTTAGATAAATGCATTGAAATCCTACCTGGAGTGCTGTTGAAGTTACCACAAAGACCACAAGTTGGATACTGCTTGTGAAGAGTGAGCTTTAAAAAAATTACATGTACATTTATAAAATATTGAAAATATCTCAAGACAAAATTTAAACAAATGGAAAGACAGAGCTGCTTCATGTTCAATTTTACCTAAGCTGGTTACTTAGTAATATATCACAGAATCCTTTCTAAATGATCTGAATTTAGAATTTGCAAAGATCTGACTTCACCTCTTACTGACTATGTCTTTGGTTAGATTATTTAACTTTTATTATCCTGAATTTCCTGAGTCCCATTATCTGTAAAATAAGATTACTAATATTATGTACTTCAGGATATTTTAAATATTAGATTATGCTTAGTACAGTCCTTGATACATAAAGATTTCTCAGTAAACCTTATCTCTTATTTTCCTTGTATTATATTATTTTTATAACTGAAAGTAAAGAACAAAATGAGCAGGACTATAGAAACTCATAGGTGGACTTACTGAGAGTTTGTTGTTTTTGTCCCACATTAAAGACAGGATTCCTCTTCGACTATTCAGAACATTATGTTCTCCATATTTTTTAATGTGAATCAACTTATTGTTATATGGTATCTGAACACTGAAAAGTATAAAATACAGTTACATATAAAAGATAACAGTATTATTGCATCAAACTTTTTCTGATAATTCATGTTTCTATATTTAGTATCATAAATAATACTGCTGGTAAATATTAAAGGTTTTTCTAGTCATTTCAGAAGGGACACAATGACTTTTTTCTGATTTTGGAAAGACTTTTAAGAAACAATGAATAAATCTTTGGGGCTCTGGAGAAATGAACAGGAAGAAACTGATTCATTATAAGAATAAAATGATTAAATAATTTGAAATGTTCATAAGTAGCCTATCATATCTCATTTTCTTATCCTGAAAAGCATTCAAATACGTCATCCCTTCCAAACATAAATTGCTACTTCTAAAAATAATGGCCTAAGTTTCAGTGTATTGTGAAACCTCAAATTTTTATTTAGCATTAAACATACAAATGAAAGTTGAAATATTCTAGTAACGGTTTCGTTGAATATGTATGTTGCCCCAAATCTAGACTCAAAACAGTCAAACAACAGGACTACTCTGTTTTTTACCACCTTGTTATAGGACTAAATCCCATATACAGCAAAGTCTTACATGTGTAACAAGATCTTTTTCTAAATGTCAATATGAGCACCAAAATAAGAAAAGAGTAGTATATCTTCCCCAATCAACCTTTTTTCCCCCTTTTTTCTCAGGTTACTTCAAAATATTCTACATACTTTATTCAAAACACTATGACATTTACCTTTCACCATTAACTAAAAGTATATCACCAAAGATAGAGACATCATTGTTGTCAATTATAACTGTTATTTTTTCAATCTCACTATCATTGTTTCGTTTGATCTCAATATTGAAATCTCCTCCCGATTCAACACAGTGACGGCAGAAAGTATACGTGCATGAAGACTCAAAGGAAAAAACACGACCGTTGAAAGCTTTATATGCTCCTTTGCCCCAAGTAGAAGCTTCACCTACAAAATATTTAGGGTAAAATATTCATTATTATTTAGAACAATTAATGTAGCTTAGTTTTTATTTTTTAAGTGTTTATGTACCAAGAAAAATATTCACTGAAAGGTACCTGTCTCACATCCATCTTAAATCTGCAATTTTCCTTCCTACATACTGCAAAATGTGTTAAAAGTAATACCTGAATTCTTGGAAATACCCAAAGTTGGCTATTCCTGCTAAAACAAAAGAAGAAAAGCATCTTGTTTCCCCGTGGGAAAGCGGAACTGTCTCTACTGTGGGAGAGGATATATGGAAGGAAGCTAGCTCTGTTTGCTTGTTTCACTTTTTATAGAGATAATCTTTCTAATGTTGTCTGAGTGGGTTACCATTAATATTGGATGTGTCACAACTAAAAAATAAATTTTAAATAATTAAAATGTGAAAAAATATTAAATAAGTGTAAATAAGTATATTCTTTCTATACATATATATGTGTATGTATATATATATGTGTGTGTGTGTGTGTGTGTGTGTGTATATGTTTATCTGTGTGTATGGTGTGTCTGGGTGTATAAAACAGATAGATGACAGGAAAATTTTTTAAACTGATTTCAAATTTTCTTTACTTTGAAACCTCATTAGGCACTGGCTGCTGGTCATATAAATACATATACAAATTAGAAATAAATCTATTACTTACCAATAATTGCGTTTGTTTCTGAGTATTTCGGCGTTGCTTCTGGAATATGGGATCCTTTTTCTATTCAACAAAATGAACAGATTACTTAAATTTCTAATATGTATTGGCTTTAAATATATAGGATATTTGGTCTTCTATGTAGGAATTTAAAAATTGGTATTGAAGACCATCCAATGGGTTTTTTACCCTAAATACATAATTTCATTTTGTGATGCTATGATTTGCCAAAGTCATATGCATGATTATCTCTGAAGCCGATATTTTTTATTGTGGCAATCAGCTACAGTATGTTCAGACATCATTAACAGTTTATTTATTTTGGGTCATGAACAGTTAATAACATATGCTGCATTCCTTACAGAATTATTTTTTAGACTTCAAAAGTAGAACTTGGTGGCCTATATTTATTGGAAGATACTACCCAAACAGGTCCAAGATAGATTTATTAAACAAGTCTACTGTCTAATATTAGTAACTCAATTATCCATATATTAAAAAATCAATTATCCTGATCAAAGGGAAAAATTCATAACCTTGAAACTTGGTTTCCCATAATCCTTTATTTCCAATGCACTGACTCTTTTATATGTGACCAAGTAAACACATGAAATCTTAGAGCAAGGTCTAAAAGCAAGCAACATAATACAGTAACAATTTTAAAAAGGGAATACTTTGATAGAACTTTTAAATACTTTTCACAATACCACTTATTGTTTATCTTGAGGTCACTTCTCTTTATTACAGGCTGTCTTACCCAAGTTAGGCAAAAATAGATTGAATTCTGAATTTATTTATAAAATCAACCTTTAAATACTATATCTAAAATGATAAATGGGAGGTTGTATTGTTTTATTTAGGATCTGTTAAGATACAATTGAATGTTTATTATTCAAAACTTGTTTCAAATATCCAATTGGTCATCTAAATTATGGTATTCAAAGAGAATAAGCACTTAGAAGTTCAATATTGCATGAGAAACATATAATAATATCAAGTTCCAGCAAATCGATAATCAAGAGAACATCTTACAAATACATTTTAAAAACTGAACATTTTAAATCAAACTACCTGGAGTGCTGAGTGATCCAGACGTACTGTAGTCTGATGAACTTGTGACACCTAATTAATACAAAATGATTAGGCCATTTCTGTTTGTAATTTTATTTGGTAAAAATATGAAAAGTATATTTTAAAATCTGATATATACATATCAAAGATCTAAATTCATCAATGGTGATGATAGCAGACTTAGAACCACATAATGCTATGTAAGAAAAAAATTTTTATCAACTCAACAACCTGCTAGAGTAGCAAAATTATAAGCCTCACTACTAAAAGAACTGATACCAAATCAATTTATTCCAGATCAATTGCTTAAAGCTTGTTCAGGGAAAGAGAAAAGTGTTGTTTAGACAGAGTTCCAAGTCTGCTTTTCCAGTTTCAACCAAACTTACTCTCACTATGAATTCTTTTACACTTGGGAAATCTAGGTACTGTTTCAAAATGTCAAGTGAATAAAGGATTCAGCATTCATAGAAACTGGAAATATTAAAATTATTAATCTAGATGAACTGAGATGTTCAATCTCAAGATGTCTAATGTCAAGAGACATTAATGTCAAGAGATCCAGAACCTGCCATTTCAAAAGCACTAGATTTACTAGCATTAGATATGCTACTGGGGAGACTATTAATTAATAAAAGTCTATCACCTAATTTGGAAAATTGAAAGCAGTTGGAAACTGACATCCAAATAGCAGAAAAAATCTCAAATGGGCAACCAGTCCACAATAGAAAGATAAGAGATAATTACCTCTTAGTATATTTCTCAGGAACAAAACCTAATAAATTTGAATACCTAGACTAATAAAAGCAGGTCTGGGGTTCAGAATTTCAGTGTCTCTTTAACCATTTGTATCAACTGTACTTAAGCAAAATCAGTGACAATAAATAATGAAAGATTTCAAACATCTGAGTTTCACTGAAGTTTTGACCCCAAAATGTGTGTCCAAAGATTAAGAACAACCCAAAATAAAATTATTATTTCTGTATGACCAAATTCATTAATAGTTGGCTCTGAGGCCAGCCATTACTACACCACACTTTATTTTTTGCTAATTATATTTCATTTTTTTAAAAGGTATTAATCCTAAATTTGAATTCTAAGTATGAGTTGTATTTTTCAGATACTTACTGCTAACTTCATCAAAATAGTTCCCATAGCATATTAAGTGTTACTTTAACAATGTGCAACACAAATTTCAATACTATTTAATCTCATGCTTCCATTAAGTGGAAATAATAAGTTTTATGAGATTTTAAAAAAGTATTGATCTTATTTACTCTTCTCAGGAATGGACCTGTTAAAAAATACTTTAGCCATCAAGGCCAGATGCAAAATACAAAGTTCAAGCCCAACAAATCAACTGCCATTCTTCCACTTATGCAACTCCAAATCAATTTCACATAAAGGCAACAAAAACTATCCCACACCAATATATTCACAACCACAAAACTAGTTCCACAATCTACACCAACATGTTAAATTAATTTCATCTGATATCATCTAAAGATATTTATCATTTTAGCACTTTCCATTGCTTTTTATATTTTATTAAGAAAAGTTATGATTTTCACTATTTTTTTATAAGTTATGTTTGAATTCTGACTTTTTAATTAACAGAAATAAACCTCAATTCTCAAATCAGGGGAACCAAATCCAATATCATCTTTTCCAACATCACAGGTACCTGTACCACTAACGCCAGTTTCATCAGATATGTTTGGTCCAGAGGTACCAACACCAAGTCCAGCTGCACCCTTGTTTCCTTCACCACTTCCAGAATTAGAAGACCAAATGTTTCCTCCTAATGGAAAAATCAAGATGTGATTAAAGAAATAAAGAAGGGAGCAATTAATTTGGATTTCTTGGGAGCAGAATCCAGGTTAAGATATCTGAGCCACTGACTTCAGATCCAGGACTCAAGCATTCAGCCCCAGCAGATCCACCACTACTCTTTCCATTCCCACCGATTTACTGACTCCAAATCCCTATTGGTCAGATGACTCCAGACCAAATCCTGAATCTTCAGAAATGCCACTAAAATATTCAGCCCCAATTCTTGCATTCTTTCCAAATAGAAAATGATGGTCAAAAGAATTATTTCAGAGCGTATCGTGATTTAGAATTCTATGCAAAGACATTAACCATCAAAACCTATAGCACTAGAACTAGAGCCCAAAGAACCACCTACTCCATTTCTATCAGTCTATACCACTACGATCACTGTCACCAAATCAATCTGAACCAGAATCTCCAAAACCTTGAGTTCAGCCCTTCTTTTCTCCATTTCTAAAGCTAGAAGTCCTTTCCTCTAGTGGAAAAATTAAAATGCTATTTTAAAAAATAATGAAAATTTGAAATGCATTTCAATTTTACTGAAAGAATCCAGGTTAGCAGAATGCCTGAGTCGTGGGCATTGGTCCTGAGATTCATGGATCCAGACCCAACGGACATTGCCACCCCATTCTATCAATCTGCTGCCTCCAAATTCCTTTTCACCAAAAGGTCAAGCATCAATCCTAAATTTCCAAAATTATCACTACTTGTTAATCCCCACTTCTTACACCAATACTCCTACCAGAATATCAGAAATTTGTCACCAGAATATATTTAATAAATGTTATGGTTCAGAAACCTTTTTTTCCCAAAACTCTTTACTTCAAGTCCAAAATAAAAAGATTCAGGCTTTCAAGCTAGCAGAAAAATCAAAATATTATTAAACAAAATAATGAATATTTAGAACTCAACTGGATTTCTCAGGAAGGAGACTGAGAGGATACCTGAACTACTGGCATCAGAGCCAAGGCCTTTGCGTTCGTCCTCAACAGATGCATTGCCACTCAAGCCATCCCCTCCAAGTTCATTGATTTCCAATCCCTGTTGACCAGAAGACCCTAAATTGGATTCCAGATTTTCAGAGCTATCACCAACATAGGTACTAACACTTCTCAAAGTGGTGTCACCTGCAGAATATAAAATGGTTGTCACAGAGTTTATAGAGAATATTTTATGATTCAGAAATGTATGTGTGCAAAAATGAGATATCAATACCTAGATCACTGGAACTGGATCCTTCAGATCTAACCACTCGATTTCCTTCAGCTGTTTTGCTACTAAAGTCACTGTCACCAAATGAACTTGAACCAGAAGTCCCAAAACCAAATGCATCATTGACCCTTCCAGCTCCAACTTCCCAACCAAAAGACTCTGTTTCAATTGAAAAAACAAATCAAGATGTTATTAAAATTTAATCTTTAATGATTAATTTGTTTTAAGGTATTATTTAAATGAAAGTGTTTCCGTGTTTCCACCACTTAATTTAATTAACTTAAAATTTTCCAGAATAAGTTTTGATTGGAATACCTGAGCTACTAACATCAGATCCAAGATCTTTAAATCCAGCCCCAACAGGTGCACTGCCACTCAAGCTATCCCTTTCAAGTTCATCGATTTTCAATCCCTGCTGACCAGAAGACCCTAAACCAGGTTCCAAATTTCCAGAGCTATCACCAACAAAGGTATCACCACTTCTCAAACTGGTGTCACCTGTGGAACACAAAATGATTGTCACAGAGCATACTGAAAACATTCTGTGATTCAGAAACTTGGCATGCACAAAAATGATATATCAATACCTAGATCACTGGAAATGGATCTTCCAGACCTAGCCACTTGATCGCCTTCAACTGTTTTGCTACTAAAGCTGCTTTCACCAAATGAACTCGAACCAGGTGCTCCAAAAGCAAATGCAGCATTGCCTCTTCCAGCTCCAACTTCCCAACCAAAAGACCCTGTTCCAACTGATGAAAAAATCAAAATGTTATGAAAATTTAATCTTTGTTAATTAAGTTGTGAAATGTTATTTAAAGAAAAGTGTTTCCACTACTGAATTTAATCTAAAATTTTCCAGAATGAGTCTTTATTGGTATACCTGAGCTAATGACAACAGACCCAAAGCCTTTAAATCCAGCCCCAACAGATGTACTGTCACTCACACTACCTCCCCCCCAAGTTCATTGATTCCAAAACCTTGTTGACCTAAACTGGAATCCAAATTTCCAGAGTTATTACCAACAGAGGTATTCAAAAGTATTTTAACCAATTAATTAATTTAATCAATTTAAAATTTTTCTGGAATGAGTCTCAGTTGGAATACCTAAGTCACAGGCATCCAAAATCTATGGATTTACCCCCAGCAGATCCCCTACTGCTAATTTCACTCCAGTCAGCTCTACTGATTTCCAATTCCTTTTGACCAGATGTCCCCAAACCAAATGCTAAATTTCCAGAGGCATGGCTACTAAATTTAGCCCCTCTTCCTATGCTAGTGCTGTCTGCTGAAGTTAAAAAAAGAGACTGTCACCAGGGAATATTTAAATACAACTTATGAATCAATACTTTTTATACACAAAACCTAAATAGTAATACTTAGATCACCAGAACTTAATTTTCCAATGCTGCTTTTTTTTTTCAAGACCACTGACACCTACTCCACATGAACCAGAATCATCAAGACTAAATCCAATTTAGCCATCTTTTTTACCATCAAGTTCAAAATCAAAAGGCAAATGGAAAACTAAATGGAAACTTAAACTGTTATCAGGAGCAATAAACAAAGGATGTAAATCATTTATGTTTTTTCTTAATAGAGTCTGAATCAGAATTCATAAGTTACTAAAGAGAGAGCCAAAGCCCATGGATTTATGAACAAACTTGTTGCCATTCATTCTATTTCCATCAATTTCCACATCTTTTAAGATAAATTGCTCTGACACAAAAAATACCTATATTTACCATACTTTAATGAACCTCAGTTATATCACTGACTTTAATTTCCAAATATAAATTGCTATTTATCTACAACTTTGATTATTGAAAATATAATATAAAACAATATTGAAGACCATTTTGAAAAAAAAATTACTGTAACAAAATTTAACACTTTTGTTTTGCTTATCACCTCCTAATTCTTGACCATAGATATACACATTTGACAGTTTCAAACATTCTTACATTTCTTTTCAGGACAATCAGTTCAAATATGAGTAATAGAATTT